CCAGCTTTGTAAGGAACTTTTTTTTTTTTTTTTGAGGGGAAGGATGAAACCCAGGGCTTCAAACATGCTAAGCCTGCACGCTCTACCAATGAGCTCCACACCTGGCCCCTTCCTCTTCTATTCCACCTTCATTTTTGCTTGAACGGCTCCTTCTCCATGAGCCCCAGATCCCCACCTACAGCTGTGAAGTTCCCCCGGGGCAGGGGCCTCAGGTCCCTAGTGGGCTTGGTCTGGGGAGAAGAGAGGTTCTGCAGACCAGATGTGACCATGCTCAGCAATGCCCATTAGCTCCTCCCCAGTGTTCAAGTGCCCAGACCCCTCACAGGCCACTGGCTGAACACAGTTGAGCAAGGAAGGCCACCATGTAAATGCCAGCAAGCAGTCCTGGAAGGAAACCCCAGCTGCAGCCCACCTCTGGTGAAGGCATGCTCCTTTTGGGCACTGAGGGTCCCCACCATGGTCTTCTTGGGTACCCCATGGGCCAGGGCACATTCTATGTGGGGTAAAGTGGAGTGGCTCAGGTGGCGGTCTCCACAAGGTGGTCAGATTGAAGTGGGGAAGCCAAACCCCAAGGCCCAAGAACCCAGGCTCATTGGCTGCCCTCAGTTTCAGAGTCTCAGAAGTGGGTTAACACACAGGATGACGACAGCACGGACTTGTCTAAGACAAAGCCTGGGGAAGAGGAAATGACCTCAGCGCCCGGGGGTGAGAACTGGTCTCACTGGCAGCTCCAAGAAGGCCCCTCAGGCAGCCCCACTGTCCTCCTCAGCACTCAGCCAGCAGGAACAATGGCAAGAATAGTAGATGTCAGGGCTGTCGGCCTCACAGGCCCAGTGAAGCCCCTCCTCCGCACGCTGGCTCTTCTGCCATGGGTTGGACTCACGTGGCCCAGGGACCGATGTACCAAAGCCATCCTCATCTTTCCAAGACAAGCACAGAGAATCATTTAGAGGGGCCTGGAATGCCAAGAGGCACATGACAGTCTCAGCTTTAGGTTTTTCCAAGGCTACACTCCAGAGGCACTCAGTCCCTTCTGTAAAACCAACTCTAAGCTCAGCTAGAACTTAGACATGTCTACACTGAGGGTGTCTGCTGAGATACCCATCCCGGTCCAGGTCCCTGACAGCGGTGGATTCAGGCCACAACTGGTTAACTTGCTGGCGAATCTGAGCCCGCCGCGGCCTGGGCAGGCTGACTGTCTTCACTCAGCGCTGTAATCGGCACATCTGCAGACAGGAAATCCTCCTTGCTGAAGTTCCCAGTCTATTATCTGAGACACCTGGTGTGGGCGGGTGATTCAGAGACAAACAATGAGGGGGCCCCCTGCACAGCAATTAACTGCTTTAACTGCTAATGTGTTTAATCCACCACGTGGAGATCAAGGCTGTGCCGAGGAAGAGGCTTCGTTCCCCTCGGCTTCCAGGCTGCGGCACTCACTTCGTGATGCCAGCGTCCACTGGCTTCAGTGGCTGCAGGACGTGGGCAGCCTGGCAGGTCCGTTTCCTGGTCTGATGCAGGCCCCTTCTGTGTGTGTCCACGATGGCAAGAAGAGCATCCCCTCTCTTCTGTTTTAAAATGCCCATCAAAGCCCAAAGCGCAGCATGTTCAGATCTAGCACTAAATGTCTGAGACGGGAGTCACCATCCAAGGAGGTGTAAGGGGTGCCCACCAGGGCATTATATTTTAACCTCCTGGAGTGGATCATCCCTCACTGCAAGGAGAAATCATGCTTGGTTAAAGGCTTATCAGTACAAACCAGCAGAAAACCTTCCCAGTTGTTCAACTGGGAAGTGGCTCCTGAATGTTTACAAAACGAGGCTCAGAGGGAGCAGCGAAGTCAGCACATGCCTGCGCCACCTCCCACCCCCACCCAGAAGGCGTGCCAGAAACCACTGCCGCCACAGCCCTCGGGAAGCAAGGTCAAAGGCCAAGGGCTGCGAAAAGCTTCCACCCCCAGCATCAATCAAGTCAGGCAGACCGTCTGGGGGATGCTCTTTTTGAAAATACAAAAAATAGAACAGACTCCCAGCAGGGGAGGGTGTGTGTGTGTACCCTGACAGCTCTGCCAGGCAGGGGCGTTACTTGTCTCCTGCTAGAGACCGCCCGGAAGTTGAGAGAACCTGGGGCTTTCCTACGGCACTGCCTCTGGCTGTCTGAGCCCCTACCATCAATGGCATCTGGCTACACAGCCCACCCCTCAGGCCACAGGCGAGACAAGGGCTGTGTGTGTCCAAGGTGGGGTGTAGAAAGTCAAGGGACAAGGGGAAGCATTGGGGAGCAGTTATACAGGAAGAAACTGGCCGCCTCCCCATTTAGAATAGAGGTCTTTTTTGTTTGTTTGTTTTTTGTTTTTTGAGACAGGGTCTCGCTATGCAGTTCAGGCTGGCCTTGAGCTCACTTTGTAGCCCAGGCTGGTCTCGAACTTGCAACGATCCTCCTGCCTCCTAAGTGCTGGGATTACAGGTGTGCGCCACCACATCCAGCTCTTAGAATAGAGTTTAAGATAAACATCAGTACACGTTTTGGTCCAAAATATTACTTAATCTTTCATACTGTTCATAATGAACTTACTTAAAATTTACTTTGACAGGGGGCTGGGGATTTAGCTCAGCGGCAAAGCGCCTGCCTTGCAAGCGCAAGGTCGTGAGTTCGGTTCCCGGTACCGGAGAAAAACCAAAAAAACCAAAAAAAAAAAAAAAAAAAAAAAAATTTACTTTGACAGTTCAACCAAGAACATTTTTTTTTGTACTAGGAATTGAACTCAGGACCTCGCCTCATGCTTGCCAGGCAGGGGCTGTGCCACTGAGCTACATCCCTGGTCCAAGAACATGTTTGTTGGTAACTGGTCAACTTTAGGTAGAAAAGAACTAAATTCACTCAGGGGCATTTCAGATCCTCACACATCCAATCTGCTGTCTGAGTTCCAGGATTTGATTTCATTCCAATTTCCACGTATTCTGAGCAATTCAGGAGAAAAAGATGTTTCTCTGTCCCCTCCGCCACCCCAGAAGCATATTGCTCCATGACACAGCCTTGCTCCCCTGGAAGCCTCACCTTGGGCACACCGGCAGCCAGGCCAGTCCAGTCTGGACAAATACTGATGGAACAGCCTATGTGGGCAACTGGGTAAGCACAAGCCTCACTGAGGGGGAGCTAGGCGAGGCTTCTGAGAGTGACCCAGGTTCTGACTCCAACTCATGTCAGGCAGGCAGGGACAAAGCTCAAGACAAAGGGCCCAGAGAACCAGAAGTACTGGGAGGAAGCAACACGTCAATTGTTCTCCCGTCAATGTGCAAATGCACAGGGCAGTTAGGAGAACCAGAAGGCAAAACTAGAAGGTGCTCGTGTGCAGGTAGGCAAGGACGTCTGCTGCGAGATGCTTTCTTTTTTGTTTTCCAGTGCTAAGGATCAAACACAGGGCCTTATACTTGCCAGGAAAGTGCTCTCCCACTGAGCCACATCCCCAGTCCTTGTATCACTTTTTCATTAAAAACACCTACTTTGTGGACAATCATGTTCATAAGAGCACTGGTCACAACAGTTAAAAGGTGGAAGCAAACCAAGTGTCCACCAGCAGATGAGTGGATAAAATTATTCAGCCTTTAAAAAGGATAGTCTGACACTGGCTACAATATGGAAAAATATCAAGGACATTATGCTAAGAGAAAGAACCCAGGCACGAAATGTCAAATGCTATGTGATTCCATTTGTCTGACATACCTACATATATCAAACTCACAGAGACAGAAAGCAGAATGGCAGTCACCAAGGGCCAAGGGAGGGAGGAGTGAGAAGTCATATTTAAATGAGGATGAAGTCTCAGTTTGAGAATGATGAAAAGTCTGGAGACGGATGTTAATGATGGCTATACAATGTAAATGTACTTACTGCCACTGTACTGGACACCTAGTGGTTAAAATGGTGAACTGGGCAGGTGTGTAACTCGTGGCAAAGCACCTGCCTAGCAGGTGCAAGCCCTTAGGTTCAGTCCCAGCACCACTCCCCACTCCAAAAAGTGAATTTTATGTTATGTACATTTTATGCTATGTATGTTACATAAGTCACCACAATTTTAAAAATTTAAAATTGTATATCATTTTGTTGTTGGTAATTTTGATACAGGGTCTCGCTATGTAGTGCAGGCTGGCCTTGAACTCATGGCAATCCTGCCTCAGCAGGGATCACAGGCATGTGCTACCATGCTTGGCCTGTATATCATTTTTGTGTGAAAAATAGCTAGCTTTCTTGGTATGGTGGTTCATGTCTGTAATCCCAGCTACTAGGGAGGCTGAAACAAGAGGATCTCAAGTTTGAGCCCAGCTTGGGAAATTTGGTGAGAACCTGTTTCAGAATAAAAAGGCTAGGCCTGTAGCTCAGTGGTAGTGAACCCTTGGGTTCAATCTCCAGTACTGCAACAAAACAAGACAAAACTAGTTTAAAGCCAGGTATGGTGGCCCATGCCTATAATCCAAGTACTCGGGAGGCTGAGGTAGGAGGATTGCCAAGAGTTCAAACTCTGCCTAGGCTACATAGTGAGTTCAGGCCAGTCTGGATTACATAGTGAGACCCTGTCTCAAAAACAAAACAAAACTACCTTGAATTTATAATATATAACATCTAGTTTGTGAAAGAAAAAAAAAAAATCAAGTCTTAAACTTCATAGGAACTGTATAGGATCTATACAACAAAACCTTAACAAATAATCTATCAAAGTCCATGGAAGCCAGAAGAACTCACTAGTCTCTCCCAAATGAAAACACACTGCAGACACTACCCGGGTCTCTGGTTTGTGTTTTTAGAACATCACAGTGGAAAAAGAAACAGGCACAGTGTGCTGCGACAGCCAGGTGTAGGGCACTGTCCCCACGGGCCTTTACAATTGCACTTGAGGTGTACCAGGTGGCAACCAACCTGCCTGGAAGCAGAACTGGTGGTCGTAGGGGTCCTGTTCTCAGACCCGGAACCAGAGATAGCATGTGTGTGGCTTGACGCACCCTTACCTATGGCCCAGAGGACTGTGTCGAAGGTGCCCATGTCCTCTTTGCCAGAGAGGCGATCCTCCCAGGTGACCTGGAGCTGACCATCTGGGAGTTTCCTGATGCGGGAGGGGGTGCACCCTCTCAGGAACTGGGTGCCATGAGACTCCATGTGCTCTGTGACCAAAGAAGACATTTGCTGCAAGGCACAAGAGGACATGCCATGAGGATAAGGTACCGGTGAGGGCAGAAGAGGGGTCTGCCCACTGGAGAATGTGGGGTACTCGCCCACCACCCCCACCTCCAGGTTCTCTTGCTCTCTGGATCCTGGAAGCTGAGCCAGGACAGCCTTTGCACCATCCCGGCCCCAAGCCTCAGATGCTCAGCACTTTGGTCAGGAGGTGCTTGGTCTGCAGGCTCCTCTCTGGATGCCAACGGTAAAGAATCATCCTGACCTACTCTCCCCAGGCCCATGCACATGGCTTTCTCCCCACCCAACCCTAGTGAGTGGGACCAGTTTGCCTTTGTCGCCGTCAGGGAGCTTGGACAGCCCGCAGAAGACTCTGCTCCCAGAGAAACTCAGGAGCAGCAGGCAAGGGCACAGACTGGGAGGTGAAGGGGCTGCCTGCTCCTTCCTCCTGGCCCAGAAGGCTCCATGTACCCACACTCTGGCTGCAGATGGTGACCAAGTTTCCCAGGACACCATGTGTGTGGGAGGGTGTTACATAGGCTGGCAGTGAGACTGGCCACAGATGCTTCTTTAGGAGAAAATAAACAGTCACAGTTTAAATCCTCTGACACCTGCCCAGGTGAGTTGGCTTATTCTGGACCACATGTATGAGGAGCCCTACACATCAGGAATGTCCTGGCTGCTCAAGCAGAGAAATGGGCATGTTGGCTACTTGTTCCTCTTGCAATCCTCTGGATTCCTGAAAGGTTCAGACATCCAGGGCTCTGAAGGAACTATAGGGCATGCTGAGGTCCACTGTCACTTGGCCTGTCTGCCAGGATGGTGTCTTCCTGGAGCTCCAGCTCAGGTCACAGAGCCCCCTCCCTGAGCACAACCGTCATCCCTGCAGGCCTCTCTGTCTCTCAGGCTTTAGCTTCATCTGTATCCTGCTGCACAGCCTCCTTCCTCTGTCTTGGGCCTTGGCACATCCTCGCCACTGTAGAGGGACTCAGAGGCTTCCTAGATAATGTGTCCTAACCACAGGGACTAGAGTTGTATACCCCATGGGAAGTAACAGCTGTGTGCCACAGCTTTAGGATGAAGCCACATATGACTGCACAGGACAGAGAGCTATAGACAGTGTGCAGTGGGTGGCGTGGTAGAAAACTGGGATCTAGAGACAGCAGGCCTGACCCCTTCCACCTTCAGATGTGTCCTTGCCAGGCCTCTGAGCTGAGGTGCAACCACAACCCAGGAATAGGACCTCGCAGACCATGATGGAGCCTCTTTGGCAGGAAACATGGACTATTTGACATCTTGACAGTGGCATCCCCAGACTTACTTTTTTTTTTTTTGTCTTTTTGAGACAGGGTCTCGCTATGCAGTTCAGGCTGGTCTTGAGCTCACTCTGTAGTCCAGGCTGGCCTCGAACTCCCAACAATCCTCCTGCCTCAGCCTCCCGAGTGATAGGATTACAGGTGTGCGCCACCACGCCTGGCCCCAGACTTACATTGTAATGGGTGACTTTTCCATGAAGAGTTTTTAGTTACAAAAAAATCTCCATCATTCCAATAGCAGGAGCTTATCCTGCAGTTCATATGGGCATCTGTACCCAAGATGAGGATGAGGACAAACACCCATGCACCTGCTCAGACACACAAGGCAGTGGCTTGGAACTCTAGCTACGTGGCAGTCACAGATGCACAGACTCCATAGCCTCTCCTGGGGCAAGACAGGCCCTGCAGGGTAAACGAGCCTGCAGTAACTTTCCAGGCTGTGCCAAGTGCGTCTGCATGTGCCGGGCACAGGACCCACAAGAGCTGCATGTTCACCCTGGCTTGTGTATGTCTCAGCTTGTGGAGGATGGATGGGTTCCCTTGTCCTACAATGTTCATCTAGGGCCTAGCCCATCTCTCACCTGCTTCTCCCTGCCTGGAGCTGGCCTTAGTGAGGTGGCACCCCCAACAGGACCCAAGAGGAGCTCAGCAAGGAGGGAGCAGGGAGTTGGGGTCTTTGGGGTAGGGGACAGTGCTTCGGGGACACATCCCCATCACATACTAATGGGACAACCTGAAGGTGTGACCAGGCCACCAGTCTGGGGCCAGGAGTAGCATGCCAGAGATGTCCCTGTGGCCTGGTAGGAGCACATCTATGCAGCTGTGTGCACACTCCACTCACCAGCTTTTCTTCCAGGCTCCCCCAAGTGCATTTTCATATTTCCTAAACAATGTCCTCCTCCAATTCAAGAGCCTGCTGCCGAGGCATGAGACTGCCTTCCCAGGCCACACCTGTACGTGCCTGGGGGACAGGTGGGTGGAAGGGAGCCCAGACCTCTGGGACAGCAGCACCACAGGGTGGGAGTTGCAGCCACTGGCCTTACCTGGTCAAAGCCTCGGAGGGGGATGCTGCGCATCATGACGGTGGTGTCCAGGCCGATCCCCGTGAGGAAGCCAGCACACTCCAGGGCTACATCTACAGGTCATAGGCTAAGGAATACTCACAGATCATGACTTTGGGAGCAAAGAAGCAAGACTCTCAGGGCCCCACTCTAGCTGCCCACACCCCCACTGATCTGCCAGTTCCAGCAGAGACTCCTGCCATGAACTGCAGGTACCCTTACGTCAGGTCTCATGTGCACAGCCTGGGGGGCTGGGGGCTGATGGCTGCGGGCCGGGGGCTCTCCCAGCAAGCCCTTTCAACAGCATCGGAGATCTGGAACAGGCTGCCCTGTGCCTCTATGGTGCTCCCATTCTGGCTCCGCAGTTTAATCTCAGCCTCCAGGGCTGGATCTGCATGCCGGTTGAGTCAGCTGGGCTGAGGGGAGAAAAGCCCCATGGGTAGAAGACACAAAACTGTTGCCTAGGACTTGTGCCCTCAGGGGGTGAGGTGGGGGCTCCAGGGCTTTCATCTTCCCGCAGATATCCTCTACCCTGACCCTGGGCCCCCTGGGGCTCCTCTCTTAACCCTCCTGGTTTGACTGCCCCTTCTGAAGGTATGAGACCGGAGCCGACAGCTCTCGAGGGAGATCACTTGGCTGCCTCATGGCTGTGTCCAGCTGCCCCTACTGACCGGCTGTCTCAGTGTGTGGCTCAGGAAGAGCTTCCAGGAAGCCCTGGCCAGAGGTCAGCATCAAATTGTCCCCTGGGCACAGGCCTTCTGCCCCAAAAAGCCCAGCAAGCCTAATCCAAGGAAGCGAAGGGGCCATCAAGAGGGAGTGCAGTCAGGAAAAACATGACATGGAGAACATGAGTCCACATCACAGGATGGCTACCCACACACTAGCAAAGGATACAGCTGGCCCCAACCACCAACCTGTCAGAGGAACAGAGCACAGGGAGTAAGTGGCTGCACACCGCACAGGGGCGCACAAGCTGTCGTCCCAGGGGCGGGACATAGAAGGACCCTTCTGTTTCGTGCCAGGCACTCAACTAACGAGCACCGAGGCTGACTGTTCAAACAGGTCACCTGAAGAAACAAAGCCCACTTCCCAGGGGCTACAATTGTGAAATACAACATGACAAACAATATTATTGAATCAGCAAATTGCCTGGTGGTGAAGGGCATGTGGTCAGTGACAAATAGCACCTGTCCTAAGATAGGAACCAGGCAGCTCCAGGATTCTGCAGATGCATCAAGAAATGTCCATTAGGAGAAGCATACAGTTTTATTTCTGCCCTGGGAGGAGTTCTGCCTGGAGACCCTCTGGGCCTCCTGGAGCCAGGATGGAAACAGGGAAGCACTTGGCAGGGTGGTGAGGGAACCAGACAGGGGAGGGTGAGGGTTTCCTTGGGAAAGCATATTATATGAACAGAACACTTTGAGTCCACAGAAAACCAGGGTAGAAGACCCACGCGGGCTGTCCAGCCCCAGAGCTGGGCCCAGGGCCAGGAGGGCCATGAAGCAATAACTGAGCGCACAGGGTGGAGGACACAGGATGCTGAGACTCACTAGAAATATTTGCTCTCAGAGGTTTTGATTCGTTGTTTGTGGTAGGAATACTGAACCCAGGGTCTTGCACATGCTAAGCAAGTGCTCTGCCACTGAGCTACATTCCCAACCCATTCTTAGTAGTGGAAGTCCTGTCCTGTGGTCAACCGTGCACTCCATATGAGTGTGCACACATGTGCATACACTGATACACAGGTATATCCACACATGTATAGTCACAGGCACACACATACCTCACACATCTGCACACACCCACGTGCATGCACATACACATACTCGGCACACAGGCATGCACATGTGCAGTCACATCGCACTATTGTGTACATACACGTGTACACTCACGCACGCACAGTGCACAATGTGTACTGCACACTCACATCACTTTTGGGCACACTCACACATGTGCACAAATGTGCATGTACACATTCATGAATACACATGTGCACATACTCATGTAGGCAACATGCATACACACATGTAAGCAGGCTCAAAACCCAACAGAACGGGAACTCCCAGGCGGGGTGGCTACACGTGGGTGGGCTCGTCAGATCACCCCTCAGCCTTTGAACAAGAAGAGGTGATGGAAGGATGGATAAGCCCAATGTCAGCGTTAATTCCGGCAGGTACTAATGATATAATTCCATTTCAAGAAGCAGCATATCCCTTAAAATACCATAGGTGCCCTGTGGGAAGCATGTGGCATGCTGCTTCCTCAGGAGCTGGGGATGGAACCAAGCTACCTGGCTGGGCACAAACTGGTCCTCGCTGGTCACACAACCCCACTCAGCGTGTGAGAAGGATGAAGGGCGGCCAGGAGAAGCCCACTTCCACTCATATGCCCAGACCCCATAGCCTCTCCTGGGGTAAGACGAGCCCTGCAGGGTAAACTAGCCTGCAGTAACTTTCCAGGCTGTGCCGAGTGCGTCTGCATGCGCCGGGTACAGGACCCACAAGAGCTGCATGTTCACCCTGGTTTGTGTATGTCTCAGCTTGTGGTGGATGGATGGGCTGCCTTGTCCTACCATGTTCATCTAGGGTCTAGCCCATCTTTCACGTGCTTCCCCCTGCTTGGAGCTGGCCTTAGTGAGGTGGCACCCCCAATAGGACCCAAGAGGAGCTCAGCAGGGAGGGAGCAGGGAGTTAGGGTCTTTGGGGTAGGGGCTGGCTATAGCCTCTAGGCTTCAGGACGGTGGGCTGGGCCTTTTCTCAGCCCTTCTCTATTGCTGAGCACAAAACAAGGTGATCTCCTGATCCTGGCAAAAACAGTTTGTTTCTGGCTGGGCGTGGTGGTGCACACTTTATAAGCCCAGCACTCGGGAGGCTGAGGCAAGAGGAACACTGCAAGTTCGAGGCCAGTGTGGGCTACATAATGACACTCTGTCTCAGCAAAATAAAAAATTTGTTTCTACAGTTCACATGTGCCAGCCCACTCAGAGCTGCATAGGGAGCTAGTGCGGGCGCTGGGGACTACAGCTCTGCCCCCAGAGCCCTCGCAGTACCCAGCACCACATGACCCTGTGGCCGCACAGTATGGGGGAAAGCTCCCATTTCACAGATGCCAGCTCCACATTGTTGGCCTAGGGCACACGTGGGCAAGGTGGACACCAGCCAGGCACGCCCCTAAGTGGGCTTCCTTGACTGTACAGGTGCAGCTGAAATCTCTCAACCAAAGCTCTCATCCCGCTTGGTTCCGAGATAATTCTGGGCTTTTTGTCATCATGAACATGATTTTCGCCACTATTGATTTTTACACTACTTCTTCCTCCATTAATCTCGTTAATCAGATAATGAGAATGTTTCTTCTCAGAAGAATGCAGGATGTAAGAACTCAAACAGAGAACTCCCTTCACACCGACTAGAGTATGAAAATGCTGCAGGAAAAACAAGGACAGATGCCAAAGCCTCCAGTCAAAGGAGCAGAGAGTTCCAGAAGACAGTCAACTGCAGATGGGCTTCCAAGACCATGCTCAGCCTGGACACTCATACCAGCTACGGAGGTGCAGCAACCGTCACAGGCCATGGCCAGCTACAAGCAGCGTGGTGGTGCAGGCAGGAGTCAGGGGAGCAGCTGAGCACACCTGGGAGCTGGAAACTCTGGACTTACCACCGCATTAAAGACCCTGATTATCCCAACTACTTGGGAGGACAAGGCAGGGCAGCAAGTGTAAGGCCAACTCAGCCAACTTAGCAAGAGTTAGTCTCAGAATAAAAATTTAAAAAGGACTAAGCAAGTTCAAGAGCCTGGATTGAACTCCTAGTACTAAAACAAACAAACAAACAAACAAAAAAAAAACAACAAAAACCTAAACCTAAACCAGGGTATCTGCCCACCCACACAGAAGCCACCATTCTGTACCCTATGCGCCATGAATCCAAATTTGTGTGTGTTCCAGGCGGCCCAGCTCTCTGTGCCTTTTGGTGTGCAGCATTTTCCAGGGAGGTATAACTACCGTGAGATTAACCTAATCACAGGGCAGCTTTCTTGTTCAAAATCAGAACAGGGGAGGAAGTAAAAACAAAAGCATTAACACAGGCCAGAGAAAGCCCAAGCTTAAAAAGTTGTCCATTTGCTTGTGGAGCCTGCAGGCCCTGCTCCTCTCTCCAGAAAGCACACCCACACAAGTGACAGTCTCAGGGGCCACCTGGCCCCTTGGCAGTCCTGCTAACACAGGAAATGCCAGCCTGGTTACAGAGCTGTGGGCAGTGCAGGGTAGGGGTAAGGGAGACTCCATCCCAATAAGGGCTGGCTCTGGGTTTACCAGAGGCCTACCAGCACCATCCAACCCCTTGGTGCCCAGTGCTGGGCCTGGTGGAGACCACATTGACCAATCTCTGATGCTCCGGAGGGCCCTGGACCTGTAGTGTCTTAGCTACAGGGATGCACACAGGCAGATGGGCAGACAGGTTTTACGGCTGGGAAAACGAGTCCTGGGAAAATGGCTAATCCTCCTTTTGCTAGACACAGGACCACACACCAAACAAATGTGGAGTTTCTGTAGAAAATGAGACTAGTAAGCAGTGATCACTTCTAAATAAGCAGCTGTGGTTCTCTCTAAAATAAAGTTTACCTCCCTCCCTCTTATGCTTAGGAAGACAGAAAAAGGACTGTGGTACCTGGCCAGGCTTCTGAAGCTTCACACTAGGGTCAAATAACAGTCCCTTCCATGGTAAACTGACAGGCAGCATTAATTCATCCCAAATTATAAAACCCCTCTCCCTGTTTCACAAAGCCCTGAGAATCCAAGGACAGAAACTGTTGAGCTGCTGGAGCAGCTGCAGAAGTGGACACCCTGGGATACCCTCGGCCTCCTCCCTCCCTGGGTGAACGTGTGGGCTGCACAGCCCCTGAGTGGGGCTGGCAGCTGTGAGACAGGGTGTCCTCATGCTCCGTCAGCCTCTTGGGGATCTGGACAAGGTCCACCAAGCAGACAACAGAAATAAGCAGGTCGTGGCTGTTACCTGGAAATAGCAACTCAGTTACTGGACCTCAAAGTAGAGCCAATGTCAGGGCAGAGCTACCCTCCTGGTTCATTCAAGTCCTCTTTCCTAGCCCAGCGCTACCAGCTCAGCCCAGCTTTGCAGAAAGCTGCCCTCTGGATACAGTGAGCCCAGGCCAAAGTCCCAGTCATCTGCAGGGAAGCTAAGGGGTTCTGAAAGAGAGTGACTATGATTCTCTGCTTTGGAGTTAGGGTACCTGAGCCCTGAAAGCTGATGTCAAAGGAGAAGGCAGAGCCCAGGTTATGCAAGCACAGGAGGCAGAGGTAGGGATGCTGGGCGGCCGAGTCCAAGTATGCCAGGGAACAGAGGCTTCAAGTTGGGCAGCCCTCCAGGTGGGGAGCAGGCTGGAAAATGGCACGGGCTGTGGGGCTGGAAGTCGAGCTCAGCTCCTTGACCTCCCATACTCATCAGGCCCCCTCTGCCCTGCAGGTTTCTTTGGGCTGCATTTGCATCCCAACCCATGCCTGCCTCCCCAGAGAAATCTGAGGAGTAAGTTCCCCTTTCTCACCTTCACAGTCCCCCACCGCTCAGGGCCTTGCTCTGCAGAGCAGCACGGCTCAGTCCTGCAAAGCCACACATCCCCTCAGCATCCCAACTTCCCTGCCTACACTATCCCACTGCCCATCCTCCTGCAGGGGCTCCTGCTGCCTCCCTGGGGGATGGTGCCCCCCACCCCAGAATCTCCTCTGTTCTTCAGCCTATTCTGGATTTGATAGAGGAATAAAGAAAGAGTAACAGAACAAGGAATGAAGCCAGGCACAAAGCTGACAGCTGAGACTGAGCAGGTGCCAACCTGGAATCCCACTCAGGGCCCTGCATCTGAGGCAGCCAGGACGTCCCCTGAGCCCACTGGGCTCGACGATCCC